GCTCAACTAATGACTTCTATTTGTCTTCGTCTCAGAAAAGACTCCCAATTTATCAGAGGACAGTGATGCCTTCTGACTCTGCTGTTGTGAGGGAAGTAAGAAATAACAGCTATCATAATTATAGTTAAAAAGCCAAGTGTGACTAGCTAAAATACAAAGGCAGCTTCATAAAATAACTAAATAAAAAGAGTCCAGATTCTAAGACTCTAAAACAACATCCAAAATACAACTGTTGTTCAATTTCTTTATTTAGCTTTATGTGCTTTTGTCAACTCACAATCCAACTTGTGGTAACAGCTCTGCTGTTATACTGGTACTGTTATTTTATTTTTGCCAACAGTATGTTGTAATGGGACAGCCTAAGTCTGCTTTTGCTCTGTCAGATTAACACAATCATCTCCAGTACAGAATTTGTCACAAAGATAAAAGGTGACCTGTCAATCTGCAACCAGAAGAAATTTTGACATCGCTTACATTGAGTGTTCCAATTTGAATGGCTTGATTTGCTATTTTTCATAGAATCATAGAATGGGTTAGGTTGGAAAGGACCTTGAAGATCATCGAGTGGGACCCCTCCCACTAGACCAGGTTGCCCAAGGCCCCATCCAGCCTGGCCTGGAACACCTCCAGGGATGGGACCTCAACAATCTCTCAGGGCAACCTGTTCCAGTGCCTTACCCCCCTCAAAGTGAAAAACTTCTTCCTAATGTTTAATCTAAACCGGCCCTCTTCCAGTTTATAGCCATTCCCCCTCGTCCTGTCACTACATGCCCTAGTAAAAAGTCCTTCCCCAGCTCTCCTGTAGGCCCCCTTTAGGTACTGGAAGGCCGCAATAACATCGCCCCAGAGCCTTCTCTTCTCCAGGCTGAACAGCCCCAACTCTCTCAGCCTCTCCTCATAGGAGAGGTGCTCCAGCCCTCGGATCATCCTCGTGGCTCTCCTCTGGACATGCTCCAGCAGGTCCATGTCCTTCTAATGTTGGGGACTCCAGAGCTGGATGCAGTACTCCAGGTGGGGTCTCACGAGAGTCGAGTAGAGGGGCAGAAACACCTCCCTTGACCTGCTGGCCACGCTTCTTTTGATGCAGCCCAGGATGCGGTTGGCCTCTGGGCTGCGATTGCACATTGCTGACTCATGCTGAGCTTCTGGTCAATCAGCACAAAAGGATACAAGAATCAGAACTAGTGTTGGTTTGACATTACGAATTACTTTACTGAAATCTGAAGACAATAAATTTAAATCGAAGCATTCAGAAGAGAAGAGCAGAGATAAAAAGAACACAGCCTTTATTCATCAATCAGTTAGCAAAAGCACTCCCAGAACCTTCAAAATAACTTCTTAGAAATTTAATATTAGGTACCATCAGCTACCCAAATAAGGCAAACATGTTTACCGAGCAATGCATAATCAAAACCCACTATTCTTGTTAACAACTTACTAAGGTGTGCTCCTGCAACTTTGAAATGAAACCTGACTTGCAGAGATCTGAGTATTTCATTACACAGCTTCGAAGCACTGGTATAACTTGGGAAATGAAGGCTGTAACACTTCGATATTTCTTGTAACATGTGGTCCTACCCACTTTAACATTAGCAGCTCTGAAATCTTCTATCCCATTAATTTACTATGAAAATTTCACACTAATTTTTTTGGGGGTGCTCTTCCACTAAAACGGTTCTCTGACCTGGATAATACCCCCCTGATCACTTGGTTCAATTTCCTCTGCACAGCAGAAAGATACTCAGCAGCTTTCATAGGGCAAAATGGGTACTGAACTCTGTACATATTTACATACAGACCTAGCGACTGCCTCCTGACCACCCAATGGTTTGCAAATCAGGCTGCTGCTCAGTTCCAAGATATTCTTCCCAGATCAGTAAGGAACGTTTCATCTCTTACAAATCACCAAGTGCCCTTACACTTTCAGAACTTTCTTTCCACTATTGATCTTAAAATTCACACATGTGTGCACACATTCAGAAATAACTTTTATTAAGATGACAAAGTTTGAGTATTCATGAGTTAAAAACATGTCAGAATTCAGATTGTGGAATCTGAATTCACTCCCTTAAACACAGGCTTTACTTACAGGATTGCCTACTGCATTTACCTAAGATCAACACTAAAATTCTCTTAATCAACACGTATACACACTCTTTAACACAGAAAAATACAGTTGGATATAAACAATCACCTTATATTTGAGGGGGTTTCATTCCTCTCGCTATGTAGACAAAAAGTACGCATCATTCCCTATTCTGCAGCATATAAAACAAGGCTTTGGCCCTTCAGCAGCAGAGACCCAGCATTTATAGCTGCTGTTGACATTGTGCAAGCAGTGACAGCGCAGCGAACAAGTACTATCTCCTTGTCTCTACGTCTTCCTCTTCCCACACCCCAAATTCTCCATTTCCCCTGGATAGCTGAGCACACCTATGTATTCCCTGACACTTGGAGAGCAACAAGGCCTCCCATGTACAGGGAACTGTGACAACTATAAGCACTATGTGGCCCTAAATACAGCCTGAGACACAAACATATGATGCTGTATATATTGGAGTGCAATTTTTCTAGAAAAATACTTGCTTTCCATGTGGCCTCCTGTGATGTTTTTTCTCATCGTCTAGGACCTCCATCCTCGGTGAGTCTCTCACTAGTCTCCAGATCTTCCCGGTTTTACTCCCCTGCTCTATAAACGTTGTCCTTCCTTTGCTCCCTGTCCAGCAACTCATAGGCTTTTCCCACAGCCAAACTATCAGTTACTGAGAAGAAAACAAGGGCATTCCCTTTCTCGTTAGCTATTTTTAAAATCCGAATAACTGATGTGTTTTTTACTTCGCTGGTCCTTACTTTACGACATGCAGAGTGGTCTTCCGTAGACGTAGCATCTGGGGGGCTGTAATGGAGCTGCATAAAGCAGTCAGCATAGGATGCTGTCCGGCCCCAAGCGCAGTCGGAGAAGAAGGGAGAAATCGTCCAAAATACTGTTGAATAATGCTCCCAAGCAGTTGATTTAAATAGGCGCCCTGTGTTTGGGACTGACAACATATAAAGGACAGGCCCTGTAGAAGAAAAATTTCAAAAGTGAGAAATTGAATAAATTTTTAACAATAATTTTGAATAAATCTTAAACAACTGTAGGCTAAGTACTTGCTACACACTGTGTAAACCGCTGCACACAGAGTAACTACTGCATGACAAATAAACATCAGTAACTCGCTGTCGGTATGATGGTCTACAAATGAAGACAGAACCAGAGCAAGGCTTGCAAAGGAGAGAAAAATCTTTTACTACACTAATTCATATATTGTAAGATGAGCTTTGGGACGCAAAAGCTTCCCTTCAAATCTGAAATAAAACCTTGGCATTTCAGACCCAAGAAGTATTTCTGTGCCCAAGAGCTCCTCATTTCTTTTTCAACTCTGTACGTGGTCTAACAAAGCATATTAGTCAGGTAAGATTTATGAAGGGAGAGAGAGACTACCACATCTGTTTGTAAAGCACTGTGTGAAATTTTTGTACGAAGGACATAGCAGAAAAACGAGCACTTAAGATCGTGGTCTGACAAGAAGGATTTTGCTCATAGTGTGAACAAATTAGGGTAAATTAGGCACCATTTATAAGGGATTTAGAGGGTTTTTTTAAAATCTGTTTAAGATAAGGCTAAAACTGCCATGATTTATCCAATATAAGCTATATTGATCCAGAGAAAAATCTATAATGGAAGTACTTGCCCAGAAAGTGCCTATCTGAACACTACCCATACACAATGTATACAGCGTACGCCTCTGAAAAAAAGAGTATTCTTACTGCTACAAGTTGCTGTGAGAGAAAGTTAAGAGTTTCCTTCCCCTTCCTTTGACTACTGAACGGAAGAAGAACAAATCCTGAAGAAAACAACCCCCAAAATTTCCAGTGATCTCCTATCACAAGGGTCACAGTCAGCGGCACAAACAGAAGCCTCTTGAGAATTCACAGTTTTCACAACAGTTTTGTCCAACAAGAATAACGGCATAAAAGAAGTTCAAACACAGAGTTCCCTAGACAGCAACTTCAACAGTACTTCAGACTTCCCACTAGCATTGCAATCCAGACTCCAGTTTTGGTAGGAGGATCATCTGCCTGAATATTGATGGTTACTAAGGTAAGCTAATAAACAAATGAATAGTTCAAGACAAGCTGCTTTTGTTCCCCAGCTACTGCAAAAGAGTATTTCTGTTGCTTTTCGCATCGGAGTCCCCCCCCTGGAAAGATTTTCATCTATACCCATCTGTGTGAACATGATGGAACAATTCTTTCAGAAAAAAAAGCAGACGGAGATATAGCTGAGGGTCTTCTTGGCACTTTCTTGAAATGGGGAGCTCCCACTTTTGGTTCCATGGTAAACAAAGACAGGAAACATGACATTTCAGGAAATGAGGCGCTTCAGGACCTGCCTGAAGACTTGCTGTAGGTGGCCCGCTTGAACACAGACATGTTCAGTTTGGGTTTAACTTCACATACTTTTAGAGCTCCTTGGCAATTTTGCTAAGTCCCAGTGATACAAACCACACTTCCAGATCTGGGGCTTTGTTCAGGTTCTCTCCTCCTTTTGTGCACATGAAGCAAAATTTTGTAGGAAAAAGCAGCTGCTGCTGCATGAGAATTCTTAAAAACACTGCTTGGCAAGTGGCAGACTCAGAGAGGCTGTTACAGATGAGAGATTACTTAGTATGTAAGCTTGAGCGTTTGGTGTTTTCAATAAAAAGTTGCAGCAGGCATAAAGAAGAGTTGTCTGTGCTTTTTGTACTACAGCTCTTAGAAAAAGACAGAAAATATTCCATACTGCTGAAACAGGAGCTGGCACTCACTCAAAAAAAAAAAAATATCTGTGAGAAAGTATATTAATCTCTCCGATAAAAGGGACACAAAGAACATCACAACCTTATAGAGGACACCTATAGGAATACATGAAGAACATACCTGTGAAGAACTAACAATGATAATTACTAAAACAAGACAGTTCTTCAAATTGAGGATCAACAAATGCTACATAGTATCAAGAAAAGAAGGAAGAAATCACTTATTAAATAGTGATATTAAATTACTGCTTTTAAGAAATTATCCTAAAGATACTTAATAGGTGCAATATAAAGAAAAAATATTAGAATTTAGATATCTGAAGGAACACTGACTAATTTTTGCAGATCTTCTAACAGTTTCATTTGAAGGTGGATCAACAAACCTAGCCTGATCCTTCTGAAAAGCATTTTCATTTTTTGAGTTGAAGTAAACTGATTCTAGTTATCTGGGATGTGGGATGGGGAGAGATGTAATCTGAAAAGAATGGAAAGGATTAAATAAAACATCTTGTCAAGAGCATTACTGAAAGATAACTCTTCTTGACTAGAGAGGAAAAAAAGGACATAAGTTCACTGGCAATTTTTTTCTTTAGTTATCTGATGAGGATAGAAAGAGCTCTTGAAACCTTGTAATGAGAACTGTTAACTTAACAAGCATTTAAAAAACACAGAAAACATCTTTTCTCTGTAACCTAATGTTTTCTTTAGAAAGGATTCTAAGTTCCTTTTTGGTGGGTCAGGCAGAGATGCTGCCTCTCAAAAAAGGCGAAATTTTTAAAACTACATAGTAATACCAAAATTCTCTTTTCACTAAGGAGGATACTCATACTTTTTCCTAATGAAAGTGACAAGATTAGCATCAAAGGCTTCTAAGATACAAATTCTTTTTCCCAGTGAGACAACAGTGAGAAAAATTATCGTCCATTTTGTCGGGAACCAGAAAAGCAACCCCAAACAAAAAAACCTTCTCTTCTACATAGTAGAAAAATCCATGATAAAGTCTTCACATGTGAAGGGCACGTCTACACCACCAAAGCTCTTCAGGGAAGAACCATCAGACCCTTGACCCTGACACTTCTACTGTTCCCTAAAGGTTTCCAGAGAGGAACTTGGATTCCTCTTTTGGACACGAAGGCCCATTGACTTTAGCTCAACACTGTGTTCTTTATTTTGGACTCCACCTTTTCCTTACAGAGTGCAGAGAGCAACAGACCTACACAAGGTCTGATAACACCATATCCCAAGTGGCACAAGGGATAAATTACCAACACTGCACAGTAGCTGCAAATCTCCAAGTACAATGGCAAAATATCCTAGGCAGCACTGGCCAAGGATGTGATTACAAGGAAATCACATGGAACTTTCTTCTTTTAAATCCTACCAGTAATTAACAGAGATGAAGGAAGCTACTGTTCATGTAAAAGAGAAAAGAAACACATGCTACTGGACTTCAATTGTGGACCAGAGATCTGAAATCAATCACATCAGACTGCTAGGACAATCCCTACAAAGCAGATGGACTTTAAAGGGTTGATAGAGCTGCTCTTTTTTCTTAACTATGTTCTTTAGCCATCTTCTGAGGTTAAAAAAACACACACACAAAAAAGACACTTTAAGGGGAGCAGAGGGGCATGACAACATCTGCTCCTCATTTTAGCAGAAAGGCAACTGATTCCTGTGCGTGTTCACTGCAGGAACCTTTTGTGGCCAGAGCTGCCTCTTTCTTCTGATTTATCCATATATCTGCAAATCACCTGTGGAGAGCGAAGAAGCGATTAGTATGGATTACTGGAACTATTCACTGCAGAAATGCCAAGGTACCTAATGATGACTTATAATATCAGTCCTGCTGTTGGAATAAATTTGCTGTTCACCAATTAATGTTGTACAATTCCTATTAAACACATACTATAATTCACAAAACGTATTAATAAGCTTGCTCAAATATCGGACCACAGATGTGGCTCACAGGAGGGCTTTTAAGGTCTGATCTCTGACAAATGCTGAGCCTGCACAGGCCCATTAAAATCAGTGGAAAATATATGTGCCAAGCACTACTTAGAATTAAGCTCTTCTACCACTCTCCTCTATTTAGATAGATATCAACCAACTTCTGTGTTTGGACAGGATTAACGCTGATAAATCTAGCATGGTACCTCACCTTTCCCATCATTATGCATATTATGCTTAAACCATGAACCTACACTGTATTCTGCAACAACTACTGTTTCTTCTCCAAGTTATGTACACCCCTTCATTTTTTTCCCCACATTTGCTAAATGTGTACCAAATTTCCTTCAAATCATTCTCCAAGAAATCTACCCAAGAGCAATCTCAACTGGTCTCAAATTTCCTGTGGTAGACTTCAGCAATCCAATATCACACAAATCAACTCAACTTCTTTTTACAATGGCAAAATACATAATGTTACATTTTACATGCCTCACTATCTTATAATTAAGAACAGTCCCATAAAATTAATAAACGGCTGTTCATTCACATTCCTTATGCTTTCCTTTCTGAAGTCCTTCATTCAGACAACTCTGAAGACAATTTTGATATTATGTCCCAGCAAAATCTTTCCTAGGTTATCAAATCTACCTGGACTTGAACAAAACATGTCTCACATATTCTTGTATTTAAATTGGAGAGACATGGATTTGATGGATTGACCACTCAGTGGTTAAAGAATTGGCTGGATGGTCGCACTCAAAGAGTTGTGGTCAACGGCTCAATGTCCAAATGACTACCAGTGATGAGAGGTGTTCCTCAGGGGTTGGTATTGGGACCAGTGCTGTTTAACATCTTTGTCAGCAACACGGACAGTGGGATTGAGTGCACCCTCAGCAAGTTTGCCAACGACACCAAGCTGTGTGGTGCAGTCAACATGCTGGAGGGAAGGGATGACATCCAGAGGGACCTGGAGAGGCTTGGGCAGGGGGCCCATGCAAAACTTGTGAAGTTCAACAACACCAAGTGCAAGGTCCTGCATGTGGGTCAGGGCAACCCCAAGCACAAATACAGGCTGGGCGGAGAATGGATTGAGAGCGGCTCTGCCAAGGAGGACTTCGGGGTGTTGGTTAACGAGAAGATGAACATGAGCCAGCAATGTGCGCTCTCAGCCCAGAAAGCCAACCGTATCCTGGGCTGTATCAAAAGAAGCGTGACCAGCAGGTTGAGGGAGGTGATTCTCTGCTCTCATGAGACCCCATCTGTAGTACTGCATCCCGCTCTGGGGCCCCCAACATAAGAAGGACATGGACCTGTTGGAGCGAGTCCACAGGAGGGCCATGAAGATCATCAGAGGGCTGGAGCACATCTCCTATGCAGACAGGTTGAGAGAGTTGGGAGTTTTCAGCCTGGAAAAGAGAAGGCTCCAGGGAGACCTTACAGCAGCTTTCCAGCACACAAAGGGAGCCTACAGGAGAGCTGGGGAGGGACTCTAACAGGGGGTGTAGCGGTGACGGGTAATGGTTTTAAATTGGAAGAGGGTAGATTAAGATTAGATATTAGGAAGAAATTCTTTACTGTCAGGGTGGTGAGGCACTGGAACAGGTTGAAGTTGAGAAGTTGTGGCTGCCCCATCCCTGGAGGTGTTGAAGACCAAGTTGGATGGGGCTTTGAGTAATCTGGTCTAGTGGAAGGGGTCCTTGCTCATGGCAGGGGGAGTGGAGCTAGATGACTTTTAAGGTCCCTTCCAACACAAACCATTCTGTGATTCTGTAACAAAATAGATGACGCACAGTGGAAGTAATAATATCCATACAGTAACCCTTTAGGGAAGAAAAAAACCCATCAGTTTAAAAGTTGCTAGAGCTAAGCTATTTTGACAAGGCAGCCTCAGCGAGCATGTTGGAACGAAATTTCCAGATAAGTTCAAAGTATAGTGGAGAACAGATCAGTTGCCCAATAGCTGCCAAAAGGCACAGCTGTATAGCCCAAATTTATACATACAGTAAGCACAAATCAAAAAATAAAATACAGTAAGTCTGAATTGAGGAGAGAGAAATGCAACATATAGTCTTAATTAGCCCATCTGAAAATTATTTGTGCTTGTGTAAAATTAAACAAAGTCTGTAATTTTGATCTATTAAAAATAAACCTGTAGGTTGGGACGGTGGGTGGGATACAGCCAGCATTTTGTTGAATTTTGAAGGTAGTAATAAACCATTCCAACTATGCTGTGGGGAGAGAAGGAGCTTCATGTGTTGTCCTAAAGGATAAAAAAAATTTACCTCCGCCATTACAGGGCAATGAACAAAGGCAATGCCCTCTCTTAGTACTGCACAGTGACAACATCATCGTTCTTGTTTTTAAGCCTGCTGCCCAAGTTGTGTGGCCAGCTGCACTACCATTAGTCAGGGTAAGTGACTGTCTGGGGAACCTTTTTCTATACAATTCAGGAATTCTATAGGATTTCCAAAGATCGTTGCATCAATGAATGTGAAATTAGTTACCTGCTGCTAAGACCGATTTCAAATCCTTTCAAAACCTACATAAAAGGATCAAAAAACCCCACATTAAGATTAGTTGTTAAAATCTCTGGAAAGAGGGAAGTTTTGCAAACCACTGCTTGCAAACTAAGATATGTTCTGAGATCTAAGGAGTATTTTTGGAGAAAGGAGGAGCAGCCCACACTGAAAGAGCTGAAGAAAGAGAACTGGGACAAGAAAAGAGAAGACTGAGATGGAACCTGGAACTTTTCAGAAGACTGCAAAGAGAAAAAAAAAATTGAATAGACCTCTGAGCAGAAATGCTACTCAAGGGCTTTTATGCTTTGACTACGAATAAAGAATTTGCCTGTATAAGAAGATATTTTGCATGGTTTCCAAGCTCCCGTTCCTTTATTTTCATGCAACTGCCAAAGGATTAAGCTGTAAACTAGAGTATTAACAGGGACAGATCTATGGAACAATGTCTGTCTAACATTAGGTGAATTAAGGCTCCTGCACTAAAATACCTCTGCTCCACCTCCATGAATGGTCATCAGACATAGGGGCAGCCATCCAAGGAGTCTGATTACACAACTCACCCATACCTTAATTTAGTCGAGGTGGGGTTATTTCCAGAGGATGCTGTTTTCCTGTCTTTTCTCCCACCATGTTTACATGCTTTCCCTCCCACATATACTGTTTCATCACTTTTCTGATATGCCCATTTCGGTTTCTGGGGTTTGTTGGCTTTGTGGCACTAGTTACTAGCTGAATCAGCTCAAATTGCAGTCATCCCATATTCACAGAATCATTAAAAGCAAATTAAATGGTAAATGCACATGGGGGTGAAAGGGAATGAATTTAGCCTGAAGCCAACTTGGCTTAAGCCAACTGTGAAAAAATAACCTGAGAAGTCAGAGAGTGCCTACAATCCATTTGATCTCAAAGGAGATCAGAAGCAATCCTAAGAGAACATATCAAAATACTTTCATTTTGAGTTGATCCTAAATCAGAACTTTTCCACTTTCCCAAATAAAGGGGAAGGAAGTCTTTTGGAATGAATGAAGCAGTTTGAAACACTTAATGTTGGAACTTTGCAAATATAAACAATTAATAAAATGTAGAAGTTCCACATTGAAACAGGAAAAATAAGTCTTGCCTTCTTTGTTTTCTCTCCCCAAAAGTGTTTACCAAATTAAAGAACTACTGGTTTTCTACAAGCGGCATTTGTCTAAAATAAACTATTTGGTCAATAGATCATCTAGCGTAGCTGGAAAGCACACGGACTACACAGCAGACTGCTGAAGAGTACGACAGTGAGGTCAGGAAGTCAGAGACTGACAAAGAAAACAGGAAACGAGGGTCCACAACACTTGGACTTCAATACCAACTCGAGTGGCTTCATCTTAAAACTACATCCGTACGTGCAGACTACAGAGAAACAGTGCTCTCTGACTAAAATACTAAATTAGCAAGCAGACAGTCACACTCTGTGGTAATATCAGTGCCCAGATGGTCCTAAATGCATATAGCTTCTGAGAATACCTACAAAGCAACAAAGCAAGTTGTATTCTGCTCATCATTATATAATCATGTTCACTTCCATATGACATGCCATCGATCACAATGCAACTTTTGAAAGCAAGTCTGAGGGATGTTTACAATGTCACCATTGCATTGTTTCACAATACAATCCTGCAAAGTAATCAGCTAGGACTGCAATCAAAATGAGGATTAAAAGGGAAGGGAAAATAGTAAGCAAAAAAGAGCCAAGGATTTACTAGGAAAAACATGTCAACTTATTTATTTAAAAAAATTATTCTTCTCTCACTGGCAGGAATTACTCTCTTTCTACAGCATCAACAAGCCTTACAGAGTTTCAAGAGTGTTAAGTAAGACAAGGGAAGAATAGGAGGAAGAATGGGCAAGGAGGCTTTAGTCATGTGAGCGTAAGCAGCAGGAACTTAATTCAGCAAAACACATTCTCAAGCTATTAAGATAAAACAGTGCCATGATATGCAGAGGATTGTCTTTTGTTCCTAAGAGCAACGAAAAAAAGAGTAGCTCATCTTTAATTATCTACGGTTAACCAAGTCAAGGATGATTGTAAACATTTGTTTGCTCTGTCATCTCAACAAGTGTCTTGCTACATATTATGATTGTTTGATCCACTCTTTCAGAAACCCCTCACATCGGAGACCAGTGTAAACACAAGGTTGGCTAAAAGCTTTCTATATACAGCAGTTAGACTAGGGGCTCTGGAGCGTACCACAGCATAGCTGCATGCAATGAGAGGAAAGCCAACGGGTTGGCATCTTCCCTTCCACTTCTACAAGAAGAAAAAACTCCTCTTGCTGCTTCTTTAAACTCAGTCAATGCCTGTTTTGATTAGGGAAAAAGAAAACATCCTCTGCAATATGAATCTTTTCCTGAAGATACGTTTGTCTGGTGATAATAGAGTTCAGATATTTACCTGAAGATAAAGAGGTAGACTTTCCTGAATGGCAGACAGCAAAGCCACAGGCAGCTCTTTGTCCTGCTGGAGCACAGAGTGCGGCAGCAGTAAGCAATCCACGATGCGGAACAAGAGTTGCTGTGCTTTGGAAGTAGCCAGTATCGGTGCCCAGAACTTTACCAGACATCCTGTTGAAAAAAAAAAAATAATAAAAAAAATCAAGAAAACCCAAAGCAACTTACAGTAAGGAAAAAAAAATTAAGAAAGCCTAAAGAGGCGATTATGTTAAATTAGACAATCCAAGAGTAGCAACCGCAACTGAAATGTCTCACTCCCATGTACTCATTCCATGATAGCCCCTCAGAAAAAAAACAGTCAAGACAACTCAAAGTCCATTTGCAGTTCAGCAAAATGAAATTGCTAAACTGATCCAATACATTACAGTTACAAGTTTTTAGGCAAGCGAACCTGTTTTAAGAAAAGTAGAGTTACGCTACAGAAAGGACAGTCTCTCACATCCCTGCAGAAAAATTAACTAAATTTGATGCATAACACTATTGCAATCAGCACATATGCACTTAAACATTTACCTGACTGTGTGCATTCATCACATTTCACAGAGAGATGCTGCCTTTGCCTTCCCTTCACATTTGTCTAATACCACTGTGCTCACATCAGCAACTACTAACACAGTGATTCAACATTAGGAAAACATTAAGTATCTTTCCAATTGTATTTAATGCATCTAATTTGGCAGATTAAAAAGAATGAGGGGCAGCCAACTCCATTAAACCAGCATGGTCTCTTCAGATCTTTGTGGGCACTCTGTCCCAAAAATGAGAGCCTCAGAGAACATCTTTCTTGTTTTCAACACATTAACTTATCACTTGTGGAGCTTTGAGCCACTTCTAAGATCTTGCTTTTGAGTTGCAAAAAAAAGGTAAAAAGGTGTTGATGTGTAAATACCCTGACTTTGAGAAACATCTTTATTGCAGGTGAGGTGTAATTTTTCTTGAGAAAATAGCTCTATGCTCATGAGTGTTAATACTCAAAATACAGATCAAATGAAAGAAGATTCCTATGCAGTAGTTCCCACAGACATTCTCAAGTTTATATTTAATTACAAGCAAGAAAGTTTGCTGGGTTGAAAATGCAGGAACATCCCAAGAAAATATGTGTAAGACTTTGAAAATAATGAAAGATCAAAAGTAGGCTGTTACAAGATATTATTACTCTATAAAAGTCATCCATTACCATCTCTAAAAACAACGCAAAACAACATTAATCTTGTGGAGTGAAAGAAAACACAATGATCAATCATACAGAAAGAGAACGATCACTTAACAATACTTCTAATAATGTTGTCTAAGCTTCCTGCTTTGAAAGAAACAAGCTCATTCCTGC